AACCATTTGATAAAACTCGTTAAGGACATCATGATGATCTTCAGCAACAACTGATCAGCAGGAATCTCAACTGATATCTTTCAAAAGCTTTCGAGTCTCCAAAATTGGTTGTAAATTTTTGGCGATTATAATAGAAGCGGCTGTTACAATCGTTGTGCAAAATTGAACAAATTGATTAATTTTGCACAACGATTGTCACAGCCACTTCTTCATATCACCAGATAAGTTTAAAATTTTTGGATTAACATAAAAATTGTAAAAAGTATACACATTTTTTATATAATATTTTACTAGAAGTTGGAATGTTCAGCAATTTGCCTTTAGGCAAGAGATTCTTATCCAGTACTAATATTTTTAAATACGTTTGAAAATACTTTATCGATTTTATATTTATAACCTCGTTAACTTTTCTAGAAGCTGTTCGAGTAAATTCTTTGTAATTAAATTTCAACGATTTAATTTTAATGTATCTTCAAAAACTGTAAACTGACTTTTGAAATTATATTTTTCTCACAAGTATATAAATTAAAAATCGGGTTTGTAAAGCTTGTATAAACTTTGAACCATTTTTAGGATATTTTTAAACTTTTTATGATGATAAAGTTCATAGTCTTAACGAACATCCTTAAATAATATAAGCATACAAAAAGTGATTTAATTATGAAAAATATTGAAATGAAAAATTATCAAAATTTTGACTTGACATTTTTAAAAGTAGCCACATCTTAATTTTTATTGATTAAATCGAATTACACATGTCGGGGACTTCATGAAACTTGTCTTTAGACAAAAAAGTGACGCTTACACCAGTCATTTTAGAACATCGTTAATTATATATTATGTTATTATGTTAAAGTTATTTCCAAACTATAGGAGCTATGTACCTATTAACAAAACATGAAATAATCATTATAAAGTCACTGTTGATGGTATATGTAACATATCATTTCTACAATAATATATGTATGTCTAATCATGTATTCTAGAAGCAATAATAAAATAAACAATCATACAATGTCAGTAAATAATGATAAATATTAACTTCCACCTCGTTAGCATACTTGTGGTTAAACCAAATGAACTAACTTAAATTGCCCACGAACAGAGACTGTGTTTTGTTTCGTTTATTAGTTTTGTGGTTAAAGACCAGATTTTATGGTGTTCTTACGGAAGCCTATTTAAATAATATTCAATCCTTATTACGTGTATTAAATTTATGTGTATTATTCCAGGTAAACGAGGATGTGGCTATTGGAAGAAATAAAACGAGAAGCTTCTGCAGATAAATAACAAACATGTCAAATAGAACGATAAAACTGTTGCTCGGTAGCTCTTGGTGATAAATCAATGGTGTAAAATTATTAGGAGAAATGAATTTTCCTGCATTATAGATAATGTGTTATAAAAATCCTAATCTAAGAAAAATTATCTGGTTTTCTTTATGACTTTGATATAAAATAACAATTACATTTTGCTCACCTACACGTAGGTATATCAAATTGCATTTTCCTAGTACTATGTACCTAACGAAGCAAGATGATGTAGATATATGTAATTAAACTAGTTTTTATATCAAACAAGACCGTGCAAAGAAACTAGAACTAGTAAGGCTAATGCATATATTTTCATGTCCTACTGGTTATATTTAATTCCTTACCACACATAGCTGGTACTTAGCGCTATGTTGGCTGCCAAGTTCGAAGTTAATCTACTTTTAATGTGTTTAGCGAATTTCATACAATTTTATCCACAATGCAGAGGATCATTGACTTCGTTGCATAAAGTCATTCTATCGGAAAATGAGACGTTGAGAGGGATCAAGTGTTATTTTAAAGACCTACTTCATAAGGTAAAGAATCTGAAGAAAAATCTGTGAAATATTGTCTTCAAGGGATCACTACTTTGCTGTTTGAGCATTAATGTAATATAACTGTTGTGCAATATGTGGAGCAATATTTATTCAAAAAATAAACAAACTCATAAAGCAATAAAATTAACTAAAATTATAAAAAAATCAATTTTAATTCGTATGTAAAAATAAAAAAAGTATGTGTACCAAAATTTGGCATGAAACTCCTATTAATTGAAGCCAAGTACAAAATTTTCGTCTACGTTTCCCAAAAATCTATTTAGAAAATTCAAAAACTGTTCAAAAGATATCTTTTGTTTGGAATCATGCTGATCAGATTTTGGTAATGATTGACTATTCCTTTATAATTAGAAGTTGACAACAAATATTTTATTGATTTTATTTTTTTACTCATCATATCTGGTCCATCGTAACGGATAAGTACTAGTGCAAAGAATAGTTTTGCAATTATTGAACGCTGAGAGGTATTTAAAGCCTGTAAAAACAGTGCGGTGTTTTATTTTGGTTATAATTTGTTTATGCATGCGGCACATGAATGGTTCTGTGTCGTTCAATAATCAAAGAGAAGAAGGAGCATCTTAATCACTTGGGGCTAGCTTTCGGACGCTGTAATCTACAATTTTCGAAGATTTGGATGAGCCTAATTTGAGGTTAGGATACAGGTCGCTGCCCAAGGATTGTTCTATTTGCCGGTTCCATGTCCACGTGAAACTCAGCACCCCCCAAGCAGTTTTTTGGCCTTGTTGGTGAGGATATTTGCTGTTTAACTTCGACTATCACGTGGAGAGGAGAAGGAAATTGGTCGTGTATAACCTATACACGAGTCGTGAGTGTTACTTTGACATCTATAAGTGTACATATGTACAAAGAACATTTTATTAACAATAAGTGTTTATAATTCAAAATTTATTTGTTTTCTTGTTACATATAGTTATTTTAGTTATTTGTTGTTACTTACTTATAGATATTGTTTAATTGTACCTCATTGTTATAGAGTACCTTATTTCAAAAGTCTCTTTATATTTGCCTTGATTAGTTGGTTACTTGATATTTGCAATCATAATGGCAGACTTAGCTTCATTAGAGAGTACGCATAGGATGATTAAAGCATCATTTGACGCAATTCATAAATATATCAGTAGCTTTAGTGAGGGCGGTAACATTAAAACGTTATCAGTACGTAAACAAAAATTAGTCGAGAGAAGTCACGATTGGGACGAAAATTATGTACAGTTGGAAGCAATCAGTCCAGGTACGCATACTACTGAATACCTTAAGTACTCAGAGCTTTATTTTGATATGATGTCGGAAATAGAAACAATAATTGACCGACATCAGAAACCTATTGCGAAAGGTGCTCACGCTTCAATAGATGTGAAATTGCCCGATATCATATTACCTAAATTCAATGGGGAATATAATGAATGGACAGCCTTTATAGATATTTTCAATAGTTTAATTCATAATAATTCTAAATTAGCACCTGTACAAAAATTGCACTATTTAAGAGGTGCACTCACAAATTCAGCTTCCAACTTAATCTCCACAATCAGTATTTCTAATGAGAACTATGATATAGCTTATGACCTCATAGTTAAAACATATAACAATAAATTTTTGATTATTAATTCGCACTTGCAGAGTATAGAGAATATTCCAGCTATTAATAAAGGAAGTTTTGAAAATCTGAGGGCCCTTTTAAATAGTGCAAGACAACAGATACAGTCATTAAAGGTCCTATATGAACCTGCCGAGCATTGGGATGTAATTTTGCTGTTCATGCTGAGTAGGAAACTTGATACTGGTACGAAGGTTGCCTGGAATCTGTCTAGAACGTCAGGGCAGTTACCATCCTTAGTGGAATTTTTTACTTTTTTGGAACTTCGGGTAACTGCTTTGGAACATTCGTGTAGTTCAGACAGCAAACCAGCGTCAACAAAGAGTGTTCATACCATTGTCAAGAGGCCTACACAGTCATGTATTCTTTGTAAAGGGGAGGATCATGCCTTATATAAGTGTTCCAATTTTAAATCATTAGATACAGAAGCTAGAAAGAGCTTCATTAGTAAACATGGGATATGTATTCGTTGTTTGGCATCTCGACATAGTGTGGCTAAGTGCAGATTCAAATACACCTGTGGAAAATGCAAAGCCTCTCACAATACCTTGCTACATAAGGATCCTGAGCCTGTGCCCAGCACTTCTCAAAGTAGCACGGTTTGTATGGCTAGCAACACAGGCGTACAAACCTTGTTATCAACTGTTTCGCTTATTGTCATTGACGCGGAGGGAGCACAACATACGGTGAGAGCACTTTTAGACAGTGGGTCTCAGATAAATCTTATAACTAATTCTCTTTTGGCGAAATTGAAATGTCCCATTAACTCAGAGGTACATAGACTGAGCGTTTGCAAGGTCAAAGCTTTTTGTGCAATAAGGCAGTAAAGTTGACTGTTAAATCTAGGCTGGGTGCGTTCTCTAGAAACATTAATTGTGTGATTGTGGATAGAATTACGCATTCATTGCCATCTGTATTTATAGATTATGAAGGCTGGAAGATTCCTGACAATGTCTCGTTGGCAGATCCGTCTTTTAATGTGCCTGGCAGCGTGGATATGCTGATAGGAGTAGAATTATATTTTGATGTTTTGCAGCAAGGATGTATTAGGCTAGGGAATCATCTTCCTATTTTAAGGAAAAGCTCTTTCGGATGGTTGATTTCTGGTGTCTTTAAGGCAGAACTTCAAGGTAATGTACACGTTGGTCTTATTTCTAATGAGGATCTTCACAATAGTTTGACGAAGTTTTGGCAGTTGGAAGAAATTTCTTCAGACAATGCTATGACGGGTTCAGATAAGCTATGTGAAGATCATTTTATGGCCAATGTTGCACGCCTTGAAAATGGCCAATTTGAGGTAGCCTTGCCATTTGTGGAAGACCAGGTCGAAAGGCTTGGATCATCATTTGTTACTGCAAAACATAGATTCTTGAATTTAGAGAGGCGGTTTGCTAGGGATGTCAGCTTGTTTGAAGCATACTCCAAATTTGTAAGAGAGTATATTGATTTAGGTCATGCTGAACAAATTGTGTTAACTCCGGAGGAAGCTGTCAGGAATGATTATTATTTTTTGCCTCACCATCCAGTGGTAAAAGATGGAAATTTCAGTAAGATACGAGTTGTGTTTGATGCTTCAGCAAAGTCATCTTCAGGTATCTCGCTGAATAATATCTTACACACTGGACCAAAATTACAACAAGACCTTTTTTCCATTTTAGTTAGGTTTCGGTGCCAGCAGTTTGTTTTTGTGGCGGACATTGTCAAAATGTACCGTCAGATTAAGGTTCGAAACGAGGATCAAAGGTATCAGTTAATAATATGGAGAGATAATCCCCAAGAGATTTTGAAATTTTTTAGGCTCACAACTGTGACATATGGCACGGCATGCGCTCCTTACTTGGCTATGCGGTGTTTGAAGATGCTTGCTCAAAGCAATTTGACAACATATTCAAGGGCTGCACAAGTTTTAGATAGGGATTGTTATGTCGATGACATTATCACAGGAGCGAACACTTCGGACGATCTTGTTAGGATACAAGGGGAGATTGTCAGGTTATTAGGTGAAGGTGGTTTCTCGTTGCACAAGTGGTCGAGCAATTGCAGAGAGGTGCTGCAAGCAATTCCTGAAAAGAATAGAAGCTCAGCTGTAGCCTTGTTTTCAGAAGGAGATACAGTCAAAACCCTTGGCCTCGCATGGAATCCTTCACAGGATTGTTTTAAGATCTCACAAATTAAGGTTTCGGTTGCGGAGGCCCAGCAGGTTGTTGATACCAAGCGGTCTGTGCTATCAACTATAGCACAGATCTATGATCCAATTGGGCTCGTATCTCCTGTTACTGTTACAGCTAAGTTAGTTATGCAGGAGTTGTGGAGGCATAATCTGGATTGGGATGAAGCATTGTCGCGAGAACTGCAAGTTAGGTGGGATTTATTTAAAAATCATTTGTCGGATCTTGATAACCTGACTATTCCGCGTTGTGTGTTCCATTCGGTTCCTGTGGATATACAATGCCATGGGTTTTCAGATGCATCGTTGCTTGCATATGGGGCGTGTATATATCTTCGAGCAACATATGCAGATGGAACGGTGTCATCTCATTTACTGTGCTCTAAATCAAAAGTAGCACCATTGAAAAATGTCACACTGCCAAGGTTGGAGTTATCTGCGGCTTTGTTATTAGCAAAGCTTTATAAGCAGATAACAACAATATCGGACATTAAAATCTCTGAGACCTTCTTGTGGTGTGACTCAACTATTGTTCTTGCCTGGTTGAAGACGGATCCTTCCCTATTGAAAATGTTCGTGAGCAATAGGGTTGCGGAAATTTTAGATCACACGCCAGGCACAGTGTGGAGACATGTCTGCAGCAAAGATAATGCGGCCGATATAGTATCCAGAGGTGTGAAAACACCGTCAGAATTAATTGGGTATAATCTCTGGTGGCATGGGCCAGCTTGGTTGTTGCAGGATCCCACTAATTGGCCTCAGAGGTTTGTTGAGACTGGCACAGAAGCAATTCCAGAGCGACGAGTATTAACAGCAACGACTGTTACTGCTTATAATGAGCATTTGAAGTTAGTGTTAGAAAAATGTTCTACCTTCAATAAAGCAGTAAGAGTGGTTGCTTATTGGATTCGGTGGCCAGAAATGTGTCGTCCAGATAGGGGCTCCAGGCGTTTAGGGTCATTGTTAGTTGACGAGATAGAGAGGGCCTCTAGGCGCATTGTTTATTTAGCACAAAGAGAGGTTTTTGGCAATTTGGCTGATCAGTTAAGTTCTGGTAACCAACTTGACACCAACTTCAGCAAGCTGAAGTCATTAAATCCTTTTGTGGATGCCGAAGGCTTGCTTAGAGTAGGTGGAAGGTTGGAAAACGCAGACGTAAGTTACGACCAGAAACATCCCATTATATTGCCGAAAAACCATTTAGTGACTGACCTTCTAACTCGCTCGGAACATGAGAGGTTATTGCATGCTGGCACACAAACAACATTGGCAAACATAAGACTTAGGTATTGGCCTATTGACGGACGAAACACAGTAAAACGAATTATTCATAAGTGTGTGAAATGCGCTAGATTCAGAGCAGCCAGTACTGAACAATTAATGGGAAGCTTGCCTAAGGATAGGGTCACTGCCTATCGACCTTTTCAGGTGGTAGGGGTTGATTTTGCAGGTCCAATTGAATTAAGAACCAGTAGATTAAGAAAGGCTCCGCGCATTAAGGCATATATTTGTTTGTTCGTCTGTATGGCCACTAAGGCAATTCATATTGAATTAGTGACAAGTCTTTCTACAGAAGCCTTCATGTCAGCTTTGCGACGCTTTATTGCACGGCGCGGTTGTTGCTCCGTGATCCATAGTGACAATGGGAGAAACTTTGTTGGTGCCAAAAATGAGTTACGGCAATTAGCCACATTATTTCAATCCGAGATGTCCAAACAAGAAATCATTTCGTCGTCTGCTCGGTTGGGGATAACGTGGCAATTCATACCCTCTCATGCACCCCACTTTGGAGGTTTATGGGAGGGATCTATAAAAGTGATGAAGCATCACATTCGTAGGGTTATCGGGTCGCACTGTCTCACGTTCGAAGAGTACATGACAGTATTGTTACAGATCGAAGCTGTACTTAATTCGAGACCACTTCTTACCCTCACAGATGATAGCTCTGATATATCTTATATTAGCCCCGGTCACTTTTTAATTGGTAACGCCCTAACATCTTTTCCAGAACCATATAACGATATTGCAAATGTCAAGGCAACTAAATTATTCAAACAAATAGCAGAGATGAAAGATAAGTTCTGGTCTTTATGGTCGAAACAGTATTTGTCAGACCTACAAAAAAGACAAAAGTGGTCAAAAGAACGGCCAAATATTGAATTAGATACAATAGTTCTATTGAAAGAGGACAATGCGCCTCCATTACATTGGCCTATTGGCCGTATAATAGGTACAAGTCCTGGACTTGACGGCAAGGTTAGAGTAGTTCAAGTTAAGACTAGTAGTGGTGTTTATACCCGCTCAATTACTAAAATCGTCCCTCTACCTTGTCATTAGCCTATACATTTTATCTGTTATGTTTTAGTATTTCTTATCAACATTTATTATTAAAGTTATCCAATTATTGTTAAAATATCATAAATAATTAAAATATGTTATCAATTTTATATGAATGTTTTACCTAGAAATAATATTAAGTTAGGAATATGTTATTGTTATAGACTGATACACAACTATTTGTATTAAGATCAACTAATCATCATGCATTTATTATATCATTATACAGTCCACTATTCATATTCAAGTTTTGTTTTGTTAGCATTAAGATGATTGTTTTTAATTAGTTTAGATATAAGATCTTAAGAAATAATCTTTTGTAAATATTTATCATTGTTGTATTTTGTTTTATATTTTGTGATGCTTTCGCATCGCGCGGGAGCATGGATAAAATTGTCATTCAAATTTATAATTTAAGTTTCGCGCGCTCGTTGTGAACTGTCAACAACGAGCGTTATGGCTGATAGGTTGGTAGCATATACTACGCGCCACCTTCAGCTTTGTATATGCCGATGTGCAACTTGTATAATAAATGTCTAACTCTCTTCTTCAAGAACTTTCGAAGCATAAACATCTAAATAAATATACCTTAAAAATATACATCCAGCATTTCTTTATTCCAATATCCATAGAGGTCAAGATCTAAACGAGCTAAAACTTTTTAGTCCTATGATAAAACTCAGTTATTTCTAAAAATCATTGAAATTTGAAAAAAATGATTGTGCTCTCAAAATATACATTATTGCAAATTAATATTATTTCAATTATCAAGAAGTTCATGCTACTCGCCTTAAAACAAAATGCCAACACCAACACCAAGTTTTAATGTGATTAAATTTTTAATTTGCTGATTGATTTTATTGTGATTAAGCTTTTACTTGAAATCATATCAAGATATATTTTTTAAGTAAAATCAAATATCACTACTTGATAATACTTGACTGATCAAGATGAGAATTGATCCTGAATCTGGTTAGTAGTAAGGCCAAAGCTCTTACCATTATATCACTGCAATTCTGAGAATTGAATTTAGTCTATTCTGTTAAAAGCAGAGTTTTGGATTGCTTCAGTAATAAATAAACTTTAGCCATTTTTTGCATGCGTTTTAAGTTGCAAAAATCATAAATATAAGGCGGCGTCCATTAATCACGTGATCGATTTTTTAAAGATTTTTGAGCCCCTCACCCCTTTTGGTGATACGTGGTGGTATTCGAAATTACCCCCATCCCCCACCAACCATCACTTGTATCTTTAGTTACAAGAATAAATTTTAATTTTTTTTATTTTTTTGAAAATGTTTGGATTTTTTTTAAACAATTTCAGGAAAAATAAATACACGTATTATCTTACTATACCTTTCCCTCCCTCACGTAATATTTTGTGATTTTTTGTCAACTCCCCTTCCCCGTAAAAACCCCACGTGATTAATGGACGCCCCTTGAGTGAAAATTTCACCTAAAATTAAATCTACCAAATTTAGCAAATTGAAATGCAGAAATGTAAATCTTCTTCATTACTTTTACTACCAATAGGGAAAAATAGGAAGGATTTAGAGTAGTTTTTAAATAAACTAATATATTTTTGAGTTCTACTGACAAACGCAACTAAAAATAAAACAAAATCAATAACCAATTACACATACACAAAACTCTTGAAATATTAATAAATAAAAAAATTATTCACCATATCAATAAGCTGCCCTCCAAAAAATTAATGACATATCAACATCATATATATATTTACATACTAATATATAAAAATCACAGCAAAAAACAGTTCTATATGAAAATATTTACTATTGGACACAAACTGAGTACTTAATAACGTTGTCAATATTAATAGAAGTCAATGTTATAAAAATCTCGTATAACATTTTAATAAATGACTATTATTACATCGATGACAGCCGGACATTGAAAAATATCTACATTACAAGTTTTAAAAGTTACCGATGAACAGTGTGTGGGCAGTATGGTATTAAAAATTACCATATATATAATGTTCACACCAATGAAAAAGAAACAAATATCGAAATATATTTATCATTCTAAATATATTAATGAATTTTGTAATTCCTAGATCGAGTTGGATAGAGCTATATTGCCTGGGGAAAAAATTTAAGAGAATATTTTATAGACAGAGCATGCCATTGATTTTAATATACCAGGTGTAAGTATAGTAAATTTTATTCATAATTTAAAAAATTATTTATTAAAATATAAGTCAACTAGTTTAATGATTAAAATAGTTTCATCATATAAAACATGTTTTTCAACCAAATTAATATGAAAGAATGCATTTATTTTCCAGTAAATTAGGAGAGATTGGATACGGTTGTGCCATTTTTTTCTTGATCAGCAATTTATGTTAGTTTACCAGTTAAATTTACCCGTTATTTGAATATTGATCTACCTGGAAATATTGATATGCTGTATTTAAATACGATAAAAATTAGTAATTAAATAAAATTATACTAGAAAAGGGCGAGTGGCAAAACCGTCTACACCCCAAGGACTGCTGTGGTAGGTATAAAAATAGGCAAAAAACAATGTGGTCTACAGATCATGTTGTTATGCAATAATGGAAACTTGTTCGAACAAACATACTTCATTTTTTTCCCTAGGATTCTTTTTCGACTATCTCAAATCAGTATAGTTTAGCTGTTATGACGACTGAAGCTACCGTACTCTGTCACAATCGTTTTTGAAATAGTATAAAATGAATCATTAATCAATTTTCCAAAATATTCTAACAAATACTTATGACGCAACGGTTTGGCCAATTTTTACGAAAAGCTAATCAAGACGATTTTCATCTATGTTTTTAATTAAAACAGGATGCCACTACTGCTTGATATAAGGCTGTTCGAGGTGGGTTTCGAATCTGGAACTCTAGATATAAAGTCAAAAGTTTTTACAAATAAGCCAGTGAGAAGCTCCAATTTTAACAATTCACATTTTAGGTTGAAACAACAATTTTAACTTCAATTAAGGCAAATAATCATTTTTTGAAAATCTAATTAATAGATCATTTATCTACTGGAGCATAGCATAATATGTAATATCACATTACACAATTGCTTGACTAGTTAATTAAATTTCCTATTTATCATGCCCACGTGCCATGTCAGAGTTGACTTTATATACCCACATTGCACTAAATAGACAATTTTCTCGTAGAAAATTACAATAGTTCTGACTCAAACAAAAAGAGCCACAAAACAGAAGATATAAAGCATTATACGACTCCAGCTCGTATATAATATTTATATCGTATTGTGTAATCATCCTTTTGTTATCATGTAATTTTCTCAACGCGCAAAGTGTACTTTATGAACGTCTGCATTTGTCTTTCTCGGCAAATACTTTCCTCTTGGGAAGTCTCGAAGTCTTTTTCTATTTACAGTGAGTTGTGCAAGTTATTATAAAAGTTTTAGGAAAGCTTCTTACAGAAACCTTCTGCTGCCAATACGTCTATTTTAAGTTATTTTTCAAGGAAATCTCGCACATCGAACGAACAATGAGGAGGAAAAATGTGTATAATAAATATGATGGCAAACATATTTAATTTGTTGTTTGGTTTGAATTTTGATTTTGGTTTATATATCGAAGAGTGAAAAAAATCTTGTGTTATTTTTAGATTATTATGTATTACAGTAGCTACAGTTTTCTGTAATTTGACCACATATCTTCGATAGTATCGTTCTTGATTTCTCATAAACTCATGCTCCAAAATATGCCTTGTGGTTTAGCTATAAAATTCTTTTTATCTAAATTAGTGTCCAACTAATCCATTTTAATTTGAAAATAGATTTATGATCAAAATTTTGAAGTAAAAATGACTTCCTTGATCTAACTAACTTTTATGTGTAATACAGGACCATTAGAAAACAGCAATTACTACTTCATTTCATATATAATATTCGATTCAAATTTAACAATTAAAATCTTCATATAGACTTATGAAGTGACCTACCAATTAATCCGTTTTTACTTAAAAACAAATTTATGATCAATATTTTGAAGTAATAATTACTACTTTGACTTAACTATGTTAATGTTAATGCAGGACCAGTATCCACAATTTGAGAAGAGCGATTACTATTTTATTTTTTATAGAATATTTGTTTCAAATTTAACAATTGATTTTTTCATATAGACCTCTAAATCTTTATTTCAACAAAATATCCCTTTAAATTTTCTTGAGTTTTGCTAAATCTCAATGAAGAAAAGATTAGTGTGAGAGGTTTTCGCTGCCACTCTACGCCAAAGTGTCCAACTAATCCATTTTTATTTGGAAATAGATTTATGATCAATATTTTGGAATAGCAATAATTAGCAGTATCTATAATATGGACAACCTTTTATGAGGACCAATTACTACTTTATTTCATATATAATGATTTGGTTTTAATTTAACAATTAAAATCTTCATACAGACGTCTAAATATTTATTCCAACATTCCTTTACATTCCAATATGTCAACTTTGATTTAAAGATTTCCACTATATATGCCCTCATTTATCAAATATCCGATCTCAGTAAATTGATATAAGACCTTTCGATCGCCGCTATAAGAAAAGGTGTGGATACCCAAAACTTTTTTGGATTTTGGAAGCAATATATTTCATTCAACATATGTTTATCTGATTTTATTCATTTTACATAAAATTTTACAAGCCAAGTAACCAAGATTGATATCCATATGGAACAGTCGAAAATAAGAAAATGGTAATATATAGAGACAGATTTTAGTCCAGATTTAATAACAAGTTGAAATAACAGTAGTAGGAAATATCTACACTAAACCACTTCAAATTAAGAAAAAAAAACATTTTTTTTTTAATTATTCAATATTTTTGATAAATGAGATTTTTATGCCAAAAAATATATTTAATTCAAGTATTTTTGAAGTTAGTTATATCTCTGTAAAATATTCCAACAACAAGTTAAAAGAAGCATTGATAACTATTATACTAGTATTCAAATAGACTATTGCCTTTTTTTTATATAAAATATTTATACGCCTGTATGGCATTCATCTCATAATTCGTATACGATCACGATATATCCATATTTACAAATACATAATTTTTTACAAAAAAATATTCCACACTTGTGCACGCAACTATTCAACAAGAAACCATTACTGGAACTGAATTATAGACGCAATTAACTCTTATTTTTTGTATTTGAGACGCCAAAGGTAACACCGTGGACGTGTGGTTCTGATTCAATAAAAATTCTTATAATTATTACTTTTGTTCTTTTTCATGTAGAGTGGATAATAATATTTGGGCAATGTTGGATTATGTATTGATTCGAATGGATTTGAGATTACTTTGGAAAAAAATTAAACTCTTGTCTTCATAGATCACGCTATGCTCCAAATATAGATCATAATTATAGAAGATTTAAATGATTTGTAGAATATTGTGTATAGATAGAAATTATATAGATCTTTCTATAGTTTATGGACAAATAGACACCTGCATCATTATTTTAATAAAAATACAGAACAAATAAAACAACAAACCACCACATAATATCTTTTTTCCTAAGCTTTTTCATTCATTCTCTTCCCTTGTCATTTTATGGCGATCAGTGTCAATTGTCGCCTTTCCGTAATCGGATACTATTATGAGATTGAAATACATTTGTTCTCGACTTATACCATTGTGATCATTTAAACTAAAGAAAAGTATCAAGTGATGTGTTTATTAGAAAAACAGATCTGTTATGCAGATGGAGGAACATTTATCTTGCCGTTGTGACACATCAATAAAATTGATGGAGAATAAATTCCATTTTGAGTGAAGCACAGGAATAATGGAATAATAGAAATTATATAAAATATAGATGTATCTATGCAGGAAGATAAACTTTTTGTGAAATGATATGTCTATAATACGAGGACATTTAGTAATTGTTCCTCACTTTCACAACATAAACATAATTATTTTTTTTTAGGCAATTTAAAACTATGCTTACAGAACACATTAAAACTTCAAAATACAATGTATGTTTTTTTAACTTAACTGTCCTACATTTTGAAGAACATTTAAACTAAAAAATATATGTTTACTTCGCAATAATTATTTGTGGTGAAAACATAAAATTAGCAAGTCAAAGTTTCTGGCCAAAACATAACTTCAGCAGAAAGTTAATGAAAAAATATTGTACATTTGTAAAATTCAATTTAAATTGAATATACATAAATAGTTGGATAATAGTTTTATTTATATAAATGGGCGTACTCGTATGTACGATGTAAGATCATATTTGAGATCTATAAGAGTATTTTTATAATAGCAACTCAAATGATTCTATTGTTTATTAAAATTGGACTCCTCGAACCTAAATATCCTTGCAGTTAAAAGCATGATACATCTGAATCAATGTAAAAGCAATGGTACGCATTCTTAGTGGTCGTTGTCTCTTTACTACAAATTGTGAACTTTACAAGAACTTAAAAACAAAACAATGAAGAACTTACTCTACAGAAAATTCAAGAAAGTCAGTGAAACTGTCGAACATAGACAGGTGATTTTATCTAGGTACAAGACCTCGGCAAACTGCGGAAAATGTTTGTAAAAGATTTATTTTTTTCTTATAAATTGGAATAAAATCATTTTGAACATTCTATTAATTCATACTCATTTGTTATTTTAACTTCCCGTAGGGCAAGTTATAGTAATCGCAAAAAAATCAAAAATGAATGACCTAATTTGTCAAAAACTTCCAAATATTTGGCAGATTAATAAATTGATCAAGAATTCTCGTTTCGTGAAAAAAAGTCCTTATAACAAGAAATTACAATGAATTTATATAATATTTATATCTTTTACTATGCAAAAATCCCATTTGCATTTCAAATTTCACAAATTCCATCAGCAATAAATAATTTGAAATAAATAAATCTTTCCATAATCAAGAATAAAAATTTCCATTTCAATTCCATTATTTATGCCTTTACTATCGAGTTTATAAATGCCGTTCATTAATAATTGCAAAACAAGATTCGAGTCATAATATATTGTATAAAGATAAAAATAAGTTAACTCGATACAAAAGTAAAGAACCGTATCTGAATCGAGAGGTTATTAAAATATCACTAAAGT